CAGATGGCAAAGGTGGGGAGGTCTGTCCAAAGAAAGAAAAGCATGTTTCTTTTTCTTATACTTATTGTCTCTGCTCAGCTTTGTTTTCTTGGAAGTCAACCATAATGTTTCTAAACAAGGTTTGCATGTTTTCCTATGGAAACACAATGATAAGTATCTGATATCTTGTCTAAGTTATTTTATTTACTTCAATTAAATAAATAAAAGAAACCAAGTTTGGTTTACTGCCGCCCATCCGACCGTTTAAAACTCGTCATGTAAATGACAGCAGAGAAAGCTGCCAATTTGAGATCCAGTTAGGACAGCATTGAAAAGGATGCAGATACTTTAAAACACAGTAGGCTACATTAACATTATCGCGAGTTGCATACAACTTCTATAAAACTCAACTGTTTATCTAAAGGAATATTTGAAAACCCAACAGCATATCTCTTGTGTGAGTAAATGGAAATAAAAGTTGCTGCACGTCACCTCAGTTGCACTCCTTCCCTTATTTGTTGTCTCGGGTTTCTTCTACTTTGTGAAACATCTGAACTTTGTAGCTAAATTTAGGAGAGAACTTCATGCAAAGGGCAAAAGTCTAAAGTTAATGTCCAAACATGATGTGAATTTATTGTAATACACTTAATTTCTTGGCAAGCATGTTGCACAAATCTTCAGCTTAGTGAAGGGCATCCGGATTATGTGCAATACTTGCAAGGTTAGTTTCATGTGTAAATACAACTAGAGCCATTCAAAATATACCATAGTTACACCTGTCTTATGAATAAAATCTTAATGAGGGCTTTGTCAAGGTACAAAGAAATATGGTTGGTAGAGGTTGTCTGGTTTTAACCAGCAGACCAGGGGGCACAACTTACCTTCAGTAATCAATAGATCAAAGGCCTTCGGCTAGTTGAACCAATGTTTATCCCTTACCAAATGACTTCACAGCTCATTTAACACATGCATTCTGTTTAAAAAGAAATATATGTGCTTGGATACAAAAGAGCATACAATCAAACTGAGACTCCTAGCCTTAGACATCTTATATCCATTCATTAATCCATGCAAAAGAGGCTGAAAATCTACATTCAGGGCCAAAGTTTCATTGTAAGTGACACTTTTATACTTTAAACTCGGAAGGACAATATTAAGTGTTTAGTGCGTTATTAATCTAATCAATTTTAATTTAAAGAGGTGAATTTTTTAATGTTATATTGATCGCAGTTGTCTGAGCCGACTGGAGCTAATAGCTTACCCTCCAAGAACTAACTCAAAGGACGAACCGGAGTCTACTTCGCTTCTCGTGTTTAACCAATCAGCGATCAGAGGTGGAACCCGACCACCTATCAGCGCGCAGAGGCGAAAACAGTTAGCCAATGAACTCACGCGGGTTCGTTAGTTTGAGGCGTCTGGGGTTTCCTATGAAATTGTGTGGAATTTAACGCAAAACTCTGCTAACGGCTTAATACTTTATTCAAAAAAAAGGTCACCATTTAAGGCAACTTAACTTAAGTGGTGATTATTGCGACAAACACGCGACCTCGTCCAATTATTTCCCTCCACATGGAAGCTTTCGTCTCCACGGGGTGTGTGTGCCCCACCAACCATCCAACCTGACTTCCACCAAACTGTCACTGTTAGCAACAATCACTAAATTATGAATTAAGTAAGCTCTCTGGGGGACTCGTTGAGAGATAAAGGGAAAATCTGGTCAATAAGAGCGAGAAGCGAACCGCCCCACCGACACACCGGGGCCTGCTGAAACCATTTGACCCCTGACTGCTGCTGGTAACACGGAGAACATGGCCTCTTTACATACAGTCCTCTAAAGGCGGTTCGTCACATTTTAAAATGACTGCGCGTTTAAAGAGCAAAAAATAACAATAAACTGCATCCTGTGTTAGGTTAAACACTCACACAAGACGTAGACTGGTATAGGAGCAAAAAGCTCACCGTGGCCGGGTTACATGTGGGTTAGCCGGGCGTGTGGTTTACCTGTTGCGGCTGGACAGAGCTCCCAGGGCCGGGGAGATGTTGCCCAGGCAGTGGATCACCTTGTTGGACTTGAGCAGGGCCATAGTTGCTGTGGTGCAGGGAGGAGCCTAGCAGGATGTGGACAGACGTGAAGGACAGGGAAGACCAAGCTGATACGCCTGCGGTACGTGCTGACGACAGAGCTGAACGTCACCAGCGAAGCGGACCACGTTGATGGGAATTCCGATTCGTTTTAGGGATGCGTGTCGTTTGGCTTGCTTGAGTTTCTTCACTTTGTGTTGAGATAAAAACACAAAGTTTTCGTACTTTAAAATGAGTAACAATTAGTAAATGAATGAACGCTTAGTCGTAAATTACAATATTATATAAAGTTACATTATGTTAAATAATTTATGTAAATTCAATTTAATAATATAAATATATATTGTAACCCACACACAGACATACATTTAATTCTGTTATTTCTACAGAATTCGGCTCAGTAGCTACTAAAAACCCAATGCTTAGTTTCCAAAAAAATATCGGCAAATGAAGACCAACAAAAATAAAGTATTTTCAACGTCACCCTATATGTTAAAAACATGTCTTTGCGCAATATAGTATTTGTACAATACTTTGTGCTCCTTTTGCACAAAGTATATTGTGCAAAATACCTTGTTTTGCACAAAATATTTTGTGCAAAACAAAATATTTTGTTTTGCACAAAACAAAATATTTTTTTGTCTGCTGTAGTGCACCTCCATGCACCACAGCACATGGAGGTGAACTGGACGTTGTACTGGTTTGGTTACATTTGTACAGCATCACATATACTGGTTAAAACTTACTAAAAAAGGTATGTAAATGACATTTAGGTTTATAAGTTGCAATTGTTCCCCTCATTTAGTGTACTGATGTTCCACTAGAGGGCGATCTTAGACAGTGAAGTCTCGACATTAAAGTCGCTGCTCTGTTCAGGTCATCCTCATTTCATAAGTTTTGCTTCGTGATTCAAATTGACCTGCGTGGATTCAGATTTTTAAATAACAAAGCACTAGGAGAAGGAACGTATCTGGACCTGATCAACTGCAATGATTTCAGTTGTGACTGAAGCTAAAAAACAAAACAAACCTTTATAAATGTACTTATTACGCTTATCTCAGTAAGAAGATTTATTTGAACTAGATGGAGAGTTTTCGTACTTTAAAATGAGTAACTAAATTAAAATCACCATACGTTGCAGTGAATAAATATTTCCCCATTGATTTCTTCAATTTTTGCTTTTTTACTTCAATGTTAGATTATAAAACAAATTTTAATATCCGATGAGTGTGGTCTGAGATGTAAAATCCAGTTTCCAATCATGATTTTATCCATTAACAGAGAAAATCTATGAGTCTGGTAATCTATTTTGTTTTATGATTTGAAACACGTAAATTTAACAACCAAAAAAAAAAAAAAAATCACATACAAATAATATCTAAACCTTTTTGTCTGTGTTTCTTATCTTAATAAATGCATTGACAAAATATATGCTCTACATACTGTATGAAACAAAGATGCAGGATTGTTTTCTTTTCATTTTTAATGTCTGATGTAGCTGCAAGAGAAGAAAGCTCACACTGAGCATCTTAGAGTCTGGGTGGTTTATCTCACTGTGGAGGCTGGAAGTCCATGAAACACTTTTCTCAAACTCAGTGGACGACAACAGCATCTGCTGGCAAACCAACAGAGTGGCAGAAAGAGGCTCATCCTTGGCTACATGTGGCTCTGCGTCTGTGCACAGAAGATATGGATTAATCCAGCAGAACCAGGAGGCATTGCTGTGTCAAAACTGGTTCATCCTCACCTTGGAACTGCATATATTTAGATTTTATTGTATTTCTATTTTTGCTAAAACTTTCAGAAAAAGATGCTAGTTTCTTAATAGACCAGTACCGTCTCTCAACAGCTGTCATCTGCAGCTATATAAATGAAATAAAGTAATCGATTTAACCTGATCATAATGCAATGTAGCCAGGTTTAGTTGAGTATTAAATGTCAGTCAGTGATCTGTTGTCCAACTCAGCAAACCAGCAGATTTGACAAAATCTTAACTTTGCATCAGACCATTTTTCAGTGTTTATGATTCTTGTCATCTTTTTTCCTCCATTTCAATCAGAGCAGAGGTCCAAATAACAAGTGAGGATATTTTTGCTTTGAATTAACTTTAAATGTAACCTTTATTTTCTGCTGCAGAATAAGGTCATAACCTTTTATTTAAGAAGGGGAGGGGGAGCAATTTCCACTGCATTGTGCAGAAAGTAAAGTCATCTGCTTCCCTCTCTCTGCTGCTCTGAGTGGGACTGATGTGTGTGAAGGAATCAGAGCAGATATAACTCTCTTTTCCCTTGTTGTCAGCAGTTAACAGCTTGGTCCACTGCTACTCGTTCACTGTGTCCTTCTGTACTTCAGTGAGGCCATTTACTGTCTATATATTTTTGGTTATATAGTCTGTGCGCGCATGGAGGCAGTGACGGCGTGAGAGAAGTAAGTTTAATTAAATATTCGCTGATGATTAATTGATAGACGTCACATGGTTTCCATCACATATGAGGGATAAGATCAGAAGAAAAGCAGCAGATTTAAAATAAAATTGCATTCAGGTCACTTATATTAAGGACGTCTGGACATTCGAAGAAGCGCGATTCTTTTTCTGATTTGTTTTCTGAGATATAAAGTGGAAAACGCTGGTTGTATTTCCTCATGCTGTGTGTCATGGCAGGCCATTTCGTGTGAACTGATCACCCAGCTCCTACTTCGCCCACTTTCTCTCAAAATGGTCCGGAAAGAGTCGCCGAGTTCCTCTGAGACTCTATAAAAAATGGATCAGCACCAGCTCCCTCTTCAACACACTTTCTGTCTGCAGGAGATTGGAAAGAGAGGGAGCACTTAGAGGGGAACGCTCTCTTCCTGGTGATCTGTAGTGGAGATGTAATTTTTACACTCGACACAGAGGTGAGTGTTTTTACAGCACCAGACAAACCTTTTACTGCAGCAGCTCACGGATTTATATTACATTTATTTATTCTCTCATTTGTATATTTCTGTGGAACAGTACCAGCCTCATGAAATAAAACAAGAACATTATTACAAAATAACCTGAAAACAAACAAAGCGATGAGATGCCACAGAACAGAGTTCCTTCTCTATAACTACAGGGAACGTATGTGATTAAGTTAAAAGTACAAATGCATAATACACCAGATTCTTCACTTGCCATTTAAATCTCAATAAGCAGCTTTACTTTGATGAAGAAAAGAAAGTCAGCGGGTATTTTCTGTGCTTTCAGGCGCACTGGTTCTGGTCACACATGCACCAGGCTACATTGAGAGATAGGAAGGAGGAAGCGGTGCAGGAAGACAGGAGGGTCCTGAGCAGGCAGGCAGGAGACGGGCAGGCGGGTCACAGCGTGGAGTCACAGCGTGGAGTCACAGCGTGGAGTCCCGGCACAGGACGATCTCCATCTCAGTGCGGTACAGTTTCCCTCCGTCAGCCAGAGCCATGATGCTCTTTTTGTAGTCCACCAGCCCGGTTGAGTCCAAGTCCTGCCAGACAGAGAGAATCACACTGAGGCTGCAGCTCCATCTCCCTGCTATATTTGGCCTTCAGAAGAGGGATGGATGCGTCAATCAATAGGTGAAGTATTCATTACCATTTTGTTCTTGTCACAGAGGTCCTTCAGCAGAGCATCCAGCTCCTGCTCATCAATGTAGCCGTTACCGTCCTGATCAGAGAGAAGAAGAAGAAGACATCGTTGGATAAAAGACGTTCCTTTTCAGCTTCGCAAATATAAAATCATCCCGAAGCTCCTGCTGTCAGCCTAACGAGGAACACAGAACATGTACAAATATGGACCTTATGTACGGAGAGAGAAAAGTGTCAAATTCCAAGAGTTTACAGTGTTGCCATGGAGTTGCTATGACAACAATCAAACCACCAGCTTAGAACTGTCTCTCTTTCCTATAAATAATTGAAATGAGGCATATATAAGTAATCATAGATTAAATACATTGCTTCTGTATTTATTTCTGGTTTTAAAAAATTGATGGTGCATTTAAATATTTATTTCATAAGTTATTTATTTATTGTGACTTGGCACTCTTCACCCTCCGTACATTTGGTGACATAACAAGTCTGATATTTTTAGCAGGGAATGACAGAGATAACATTTGTGTTAAAATGTATTTATTGAGTAGTTAATGTTCACATTTCACCACCATCTAATAAAGGAATAATTATATACTCAGTTATTACTAATTTAAATATTATTTCTACATTTTATGTTTTATTTTTGTAGGCAATTACTAATTCATTTAAGTTGTAGTATATATTAATTTACCCAATTGTCTATTGTTTATTATATTTAAGGATTTGAAGATCAACATTAAGCCTGTCACAATAAGCAATTAATCAATTAAAATTAGCTCAATGATTTTCATTTTGATTAAAATTTTTTGAAAGGAAATTTTGTTTAGAGAGTTCATAATTTATTTTATTATAATTTTGATTGTGTGGTTTTTATTTCCTCTTAACTTGTCGTTTTTGGTTGTTATGTTTTATTTTGGATATTTCAAATCTCTTCCAGTTGCGGCATTTAGTGTTCTGTACAAAATTAAAGATCGCTGAAGTAGCATTGCTATGCATTATTATATTAACTGAAAACGAATTCCAGACAACAACATTATCATTAATAGCAATAATTTCTGCCAGAGACAATTTATTGACCAAGAAAATTTGTCATTGTAACATGCCTAATTATTATTCATATATATAAACATTAATAATTTACTTGTTTGTTTTATTAGAATTTAAACTCCATACATGATTGCAAAAACTGAACATCTACTCAATCGATATGAATGAATGACTTAGTCTTAGAAATAGGTTAAATATGGCAATTTGTAACGCAAAATGTGCATAAATAAACTTTATAAATGTGAAAATAAGACGTACTTTCACCAACATAAACATTAGACAGACTGAAGTGAAGTTCCCTGGAAAACAAATCCATATGACCCATCATGCAGCAACAAGCAGACAGTGAACAGATGTCCATCCTGAACACGTCTGGTCAGCGATCAACCTCCACAATCAACAAAAAGTTATTAATGTTCAGAAACACGTTTTTCACCTTATCATAGAAAGTGAAGAGAGAGTCGAACTCCTTGACGGTGAGTCTGATGCCCTGTAACGTCACACAAAGTGAGAGAAGACAGAATAATTAGAAACTGATGCATATTTCTCGAGAGCAGTAAAAGCCCGAGATCTACCACAGATATTAATCCATGCAGATTATGATAACTGGGACTAGAGTTGAGTTAATCCTCATCAGACTGACTAATCCTCTGTCGAGAGAAATTGTTGATCTGCTCTCAGAGGCCAGCACATTTAAATGGGAACAAACAAGAATCCAAATTTAAAGACACAAATGTGTTGGAGGTGCTCAGTTTCAATTATTTCTCCCAGTTATAGAAAATATACAAGAAAAAAAGTGAAAGTAAGTAGAAGCTCCGCTGCTCACATAAAAATCTAAACTGTGCATTTATTAGTTTTATTAAACAATCAGAGTTTAAAATAAAATAAGGAAGCAGGATTGACAAAAATCAGGAATCCCAATTAACTATGCAGCTAAACTTCATATTTAGTACTTTGAAATGCCTTGCTGCTGAAATGTGATATACAAATAAGGTTTGATTGACTAATTGATTGATTGATTGATTGATTGATTGATTGATTAATTGATTTTCTGTGGTCTCAGAGGGAAAACCTCCACAAATAAGCACCCAGAACGATCTTTCATGAGCAGCTTCCTGACAGACAGAGCTCCACCTGCACTAAATGACACCAGGGTCAAACAAGTTGCATGCTTGTGGTTTTTGGGATGATAATCTCCATTACAGTAATCTAAAAGATTAGTCTACGTCATTCAAGTGCATTCAGGGAAGCCAATTCCTCACCAATCACTGGTTTACACCCATAAAAACTCGCTGCCTCCATTTCGATAATTGTTTGGCTCTGCATGCAGAGTTTAGGGCCAGCTACTCAAAGCAGTTTAAGTCAGGCTAGCATGCAGCAAAGAGGGCCGAAGTTTAAAATCCCATTTCAGAAACACAGCAGATAAAAATCACAAAGTTAAAGCCAGCGGATTACCGAGTTTTACATTCGCAACATGAAAGCTTGAAGATGGTTTTCCACTTTGTGTTTCCACCTGGTTTAATCTCCAGTGGCCACCGTGAAGCAGGATTTGTGCCACGCATGAAATGCTGAGGTTGGACAAAATGTGCATGCAGCGTGGCCAAACAAACTGGCTGCAGCTCACTTAACCGGAACAACTGAAGACTGACATGGTGGCAGTAAAAGACAAAGATTTAAAAAGCATGCAGTTTTTTTCTTGTGTTGTGTTTCCTTGACTTTTGCTATTTATTCTCTACTTATCTTTAGGATGTCTTTACATATATTTTAAGCAATTTTCCTCAACTCATTAATTAGGTTTTCCTGCTGCCAGTGCGCAGTGCGAAGAGATTTGCCAAAAAGCACAACACTTTAATTTATTTGTGTCTATAGTGAGATGCGCCTTTTGGCAAGGCTCAAAAAGTAAAGCAATGCCAACCTGAAGATGTGGAATCTTAAGAAGATGAGTAATAAAGCTGAACGAGTGCATTTAATTTAGGGGTATCAGAGTAAAAGATGACTAAATCCAGATACACAACACACTTTTCAGAATTTTATTTGTAAAAACATTTGAAACCATTTGCTGACACTTAAAATCCCAATCAATTACATCGATGTTTGTGGCTGTAATATAACTGGACGTGAAAAGTTCAAAGGTTTGATGCTCTTGTGATGGACTGTATTTTAAAGAGAAAGCACTTGAAAGTTGATGTTTTTTGTTTTTCCGACGGCGTAATCGTACCTCAAACTTGAGCAGGAAGTTCTCCTGGACCGGCAGAAGCCTGTGGTGAGAAACATAAACCAATCAAAGTTGATCTGAAGAGCAACTTTCAGAAAGAAAAGCAAGTAAAACCGAGAAGTGACGCCATCTCACCTCGCCATCTCAGAGAGGCCCAGCTTACCATCACCATTCAGGTCAAACATCCGTAGCTACAGAAAAATAAAATTAAAAGGGAATTCATCAGAGGAAGTTTAGGGAAAATGTTGCAAACACTGAAGTGAGTGCAGCTCACAGATGGCCGACTGACCCTGGTGGCAAAGAAAGCAGCGTCTCAGCAGTACAGGTGCAGCAAATGTGATTAATATTTAAGCCTCCACATAATGCTTCATTATGCATATGACCAGCAGTTAGCTGTAAGTTGTGAATATGTCATCATTAAGGGGCAAAAGGTCAATGCAGATCTTAAAAAAATTTATTTTCAGACTTGAACTTGTGTGGCTGAATCTGAAGCTTTGAGGTTTATCAGAATACAGCAGCATGATTGATATGTGTTTATGATTTTCTGATACATTTTGTATTTTGAGAGGCCGGTAGTGCTGGTGATTTAAACATTTCAGCTCTCACGATTGTCTGTGTGTACTCGTTGAGCTTCTTGTCATCGTAGTCTCTGTTGGCCTTCTTCAGCAGGTCCGACAAGAAACCCTGAGATGAGAAAGAAACCAACGATGAGAGGACTTCAAAAGTTTTCATCTGACTGCAATCAGTCCATGGTTTGCTTTCCAATTCATTATTTTACTTTTGTAAACAACATGAAAACATGTCTACCTGTCTGCCATTAAATCAGTAAGACTTAACCATAATGGCCTCTATGTACAGTCACTGCACAAGACTCCACTGCTGAAGAAAGCATATTTTTAAGGACAAGCCCACCAAAGCCCAGACTAATACTCTGAACTCTTTGCTGTCATTGCACACAACGTAAGAATACTGAAAAATATTGTGAGGGTATCGAGTGTTTTTTCCTCTAGCGAATACACAAAGTGCTCCAAATGCTGTATTAGAAGCTTGTTGTGTTACCTTCAGCTCATTGGACTCAATGTATCCGCTACGATCAGTGTCATATCTCCGCCAAGCCTGCAGCAGAAGATTTGCTGTTTTTAGAGAACATCTCTGTAACAACTAAAAAAACATAAACATCTCTTCAAACTGGAGTATGGCCAAACACACGCATTGCCTGACTTTGTGTTAATATAGAATTTGCCAAAAGATGGATACCTAAAACGCTTGCAGCACTCTGACTCCCTCCCCTCCACAGAAAGCTGCAGAACATCCATAATGTATGGCTTTTCTGAGAATAGCTTTAATACACGGAACAGCCTGAACATCCCACCATAAAATCCTTCTAAAAGCAAATAAGTGAAGTGTGTATATGTGTGTGTTTTTTCTGGAGTGTATGTTCAGTCACAGTGCAGCTTATGTTTGATGGCTCTCTGTTTCCCCTCAGATTACTTTAACATCAAACATACAGCTGAGAAAAAAAGCAAAGTCGGCAAAAAATGCTGCATTTTCATCAGCGTAAACGTTAAAATGCTTATTTTGAATTAGTCAAAACTAATAGTTTTGGAAGTTTTCTTCAAGCAGAGGGTTTTAAACATTGAACATTTGCGAATGTTTGACCCAGAAAGCAAGTGTCCAGATGAATGTTATGGCAGTCCTTCCTGAAATGCCACAACATTAAAACAGACGCCTCGACTTGGCACGGAAACTGAAGGAAACATGAGGCAGCTGAACATGCGTCCCACAGGACAGGCTGTCAAGGCGAAGCTCGCTGGAGGCGCTTGTGAGGAAATTTCACAGTTCAGTAAGGTTTACCAGATATTCAGTGAACAAACTCAGGAAACAGAAGACCTCAACCGAGAACAAACGTGGCTAATTTTTACAGTCACGGAACACGAAAAAGGTTGACTGAGCACATCTACTGTAAGGAGCTACGCAGGAACAGTTTGCAGCATTCAAGGCGACGGACACGGATGTGAAAATGTGCCAACTTACATCCATGAATTCAGCACTGGATCTCACAAACTCTCTGAAACAGATCAGGAAGTTTTCCTCCGTCGGCAGAATCTGGACCAGCTGCGCAAGAAGAAATTGATGCTATTTTGCTGGACGGATAAAAAGACTTGATGAGCAAAAGAAACAGGAGTAAATAACTGGTCTCACCTCAGACATCTCAATTCTACCATCAGAGTTCTTGTCAAAATTTGCCATGAACTCCTTCAACTTCTCCTTGAACAAAGCATGTGAGGGATCCTGCAATGACATGAAAACGTTTTTCAGTTCGCTCATATTTTGGCTTTGCATGTATAAAACCAAACTTCAGTACTAACAATAAACGTATGCATCTTAAATTAAAAAAAATTCCTACATTGTACAAAAAAATATTTCTTTTTTTGCTGTTTGACATTAATCAGATGTTTTAAATCAGTTAGGCTTATTTATATTCGCTAAATACCAGAATAAAGAGGGGATTTTTTAAAAAACATTTTTATTAATTTCATTAGGGAGAACAATGAAAACACTAAGATTCCTATCTCTTTAAACAATTTGATGATGCCATTGCTACATTTTATTTCCATCCATCCATTTTCTGCACATCCTTGTCTCTAGTGGGGTCGGGGATATATTTTCTTTGTGATATTATAAATCAAAAATACAAAAGTATTTTTGGTTTATAATTGGAAAAAAGGAAAAAATACAAAAGAGGGAAAAACTAAAAAAACAAAAAAAGAAGAGTCCAGTGTAGCACTTGGGTATTTGTAGTGTTTGTATAGAGGAAAGAAAGAAGATAATGTTAAAATAACACCACTACTATTAAAAAACAAATAAATAACATTAGTGATAGTATTACCATCTCTTTTAACAATTTGATGTTGATGCTGCTACTGTTGAGCAGCTAATTAGCATGTTTTGTTGTGAAATGTGGCTGTCAACCCAGGAACAAAATCACTGAAGCTGGTAAAACAGCCTCTGGCTATAAAACCAATCAGTCAGGAAGAGGCCATTTCTCCAAATGCAACATATACAATCAAATTAATGTTTGCGGCTCACATAGGGGCAGAAACCTTAATTTTCAAAGCTCTATCTTGTGTGATGAAACTAAGATTGAAGTATTTGGCAATAACAAGCATTGTTACATTAAGAGAAGAAGAGAGACGTTCAGAAACCTGAGAATGAAATCCTAAATGTCAGGTCGGTAGCTGTATTATGTTGCCAGAGAGACTGGTGCGCTTTATAAAAATTAAATAATTGAAGCAACTTACTCAAAGCTGGGGGACAAGTATGTCCAAAGAATAACTAAGAATAATACAAAGTCATTCAGGGACAACAGCATCCATGAGTGGCCCTTATCTGAGCCCCACAAAGAATTTGTCTGCAGAAATGAAAGGTTTATGCAAGCGAAAACACCATTTCAGTCAGGAAAACTGGGTCAAAATGACCACAAAATATTGAGAGAAGCTTCAAGAAGAATTATTGAAACTGTCTGACCCAAACAACACAATTTAAAATGCAATCAGCGACAAACTTCTGACATAAAGCAGAGTTTAAAAAGTACATTTTCATTCTGGTTAGCAAATAAAATATTGAATGCAATAGGTGTGACATTGACACTACATTAGTTTCACCTGCAGAGCGTTAGCGTTTACCAAGCAGGATTATGACGGAAGAGAAAAACACCCACCACTCCGGCTCCTCGCCTCGCAGTCTCCAGCTCTGTGAAGAAGCGCTCCAGCTCCTTCCCCTCTATGTAGCCGTTTCCTTCAGAGCACCAGAGGAGTGAAATTAGTTTGGCACAAATGACGTCATGAAGCTTTTAAGTCACTTTAAGCTTTGTGGACCGGTCAGAAGTTTGATTAAAGTTTAATAACCACTGAGGGTCTTTAAGTTTTGAAGCAGTTGCCAAACCTTGAGTACTGGTCCAGCCTCAAGTCCTCTGTGATTAAACAGAAATAATCAGTTTATAAACTAATTTGGAGTGCATTCCCACTTAAAGCTGTGCTTAACTCATTATTTCTGACAGTTGATTAGTTTGGACGCCTAAGTAATGCCTAAAGTGAATCCCAGAGCTCCACAACTGCAGAATAAAGATTACTATACATCTAAACAATAAGCAATTATTTCAAATTGAGTTTTAACTGGTAATAACAAGGTCGAATGGATAAAATATCCTAATTTACATATCCATATCCAGTTGTAAAGTGGATTTATCCGTATGTGAGCTCCAGCTGGGACAAAACAAACTCCACCAGAGTGAAGTGGCATTGGAGTGGAAGCAGAATAATGAGCATCTTCTTGCCTAAAAGGGCAATCAGACTGATGCTTACTGGAGCATCCTGCCCCTCACTCTGCACTGTACCACTTACAATGCCCACATTGTAGAAAATAATTTAGTTTGTCTTGAGGTCACAGGTTGTGCAGGACGTTCTGTGGTCGTTTTTAATCATTGGAGCGAGTCCCACCTGTCACCAGTCTAAACATGGGCGAGGGGATTTAGTGCAATTCAATATTTAACAGGAGATGTAGATAAACTGTTGTCCCAATTCAAAGGAAAACATAAACATACTGAACTAAATGCAGTGATGTGTCCCATGACTTATTAATCTTTTAATCTCTTATCCACTACCGGTTCCTCCCAGCTCCGTTTGCGCGGTACATCTGATTGGTGCCATCGCATGTGAACTGGTGTTTCAGACAAACCAGAGCAGAAACTAAGAAAACAGCACAGAAAACGTACCAAAGATGAACCAGCATTTGAATATACTGCTGGTTTTTAATTCAGCATCATGTTTTTCACGTCATTATTCATTCATCTAACTAGAAATTTATCAACAACAACAAAGAGGACACTGGAAAGCATTTTTTTTTTAGTTACCACAATAACCAGTAATATGACCACTAAGCTATTAAGATCATTCTTCTAGATCTGTGGCATCATCTGAAAAACAAGATCACTCCAGTGCAGTAGAAGGTTCTGGGCTGGAAAATGAAGCACCCCATTCATTTATAGGCAGCTCCCGATGAGGACGTGTGAAAAGCTGTGGATCATTTATGACCACAGATGTAAATGGTAAAAAATAATTTTAAAAAAGATGAAGAGAAGAGGGAACCCGTCATGCGTACGGTTGTTGTAGGTGTGGCCCTAGCACAAAACAGTTGCTTTCCAACGCACCGTTTTCAATAATTGGAGAAACTACAATAAAAAATGCAACTTTTTTTAAATGCTACTTATCTTATTTGCTTATCCCAACTCTCATAAGTACAAATACTAGTGAAGTTATAAATAATGGCTCAAATATAATATTTTTCAGTAAGAATTTATTTTTCTCTTAAAAGGTGAGCCATTATGTTTCCTTGAACAGGTTACATGTTCATTACATAATTTTTTTACAAAATCATTTCTAGATAACTAGAGTTCAGTCTTGTCAATTCTGCCGATTGAGAGGTTGTTTTATGGCCTATTGTCACTTTAAATCCAAATAAGTTTCTGCTGGTCACATTGCTGTCTACATGCACGTGTGTAAATGGCTTCAAACAGATGTGCAATCATACAGATATGCATCTTTGAAAAGCAGAAGTGATGCCTCCTGTGCGACCAACAAGAACGCAGTTAGTAATTTCTGGATGGCATGACAACAAAACTTTTGTCTTTTCCAGCAGCCATTGTACAATAAAGAGAGTGGATAAAAACAGCTGATTAAATGTGATTGAACTCTGATTGGCTTGATAGGTGACAGGCGGGGCTTTCCTGGGGTTGCTAGGTAACGGTGCAATCCCCATTGATGGGAATTAATCAAGAGGTTTTTGAAACAGTTCATATTCCAATAAATCATTCATTTATCAATGCAAATGGAAGCATAAAAATGTGCAAAAAGTTAATTTTGCCGACTTTTTGATTCTGTTTATCTCAAAATAATTTATTTGTCTTTGGTTGTATTTCTATACGTTTAAAAAAGAACCAATTATCTGTGATAAATCTGAAAATGCCCGTTCATCCAGAATCCCAGAGAAATAGCTGTGTTCTCAGTTCACTGGTGGTTGGTGCCAGAGTTTAGTTGGGATCTAAATCTCAGCTGTCACATGAAGCGCACCACTGCGCACTGAGCAGATGAAGTACCGTTCCCCTCTTATAAGATTTTAAAACCCAGCTCAACTTCTGATTGCTCAACGGCACCACGGGACCATGTCAGCTGTCCAGCACAGAATGGCAGAAAATGACATAAAGGCTCATGTGACAGACTGTTTCATTGCTGCATGAAATAATACTGCAGGATTTGTTCCAGCTGTTGAGACCCAACTCATTTGTGAGATTAAACTATGTTTCAGATTTTAAGAGATTCACTTTAAAGGTCAGGTATCGCTTTGAACTTTTTTCTTTTATTTATTCACTGACATTCCCTGTAAATTCTCACAGCGTAAACATCTGTGAATTTATGCTGAATGCTCTAATGTTTATCTATCAGAGCATTCATTAACTATGAACAAAATGTCTCCAAATAAGCGGGTTGAATTCCTGTTCAGGTTTTAACATCATGGATGGACACAGCTGTAAATTTCCTCAGGACAAAGCTATTATCTGATTATCCAAGGAGGGCAGAGACACCATGGTCAGAGGTGCCATGGAGAGAGGCGCCATGTTCAGAGACGCCATGGAGAGAGGCGCCATGATCAGAGGCGCCATGGAGAGAGGCGCCATGTTCAGAGACGCCATGGTCAGACACCAGAGACGCCATGTTCGCCATGGTCATGACGCCATGGTCAGAGGCGCCATGGAGAGAGGCGCCATGTTCAGAGACGCCATGGTCAGTGACACCATGGTCAGAGACGCCATGTTCAGAGACGCCATGGTCAGTGACGCCATGGTCAGTGACGCCATGGTCAGAGACGCCATGGTCAGAGGCGCCATGGAGAGAGGCGCCATGGTCAGTGACACCATGTTCAGAGACGCCATGGTCAGTGACACCATGGTCAGAGACGCCATGGTCAGAGGCGCCATGGAGAGAGGCGCCATGTTCAGAGACGCCATGGTCAGTGACGCCATGGTCAGAGACGCCATAGTCAGAGACGCCATGGAGAGAGGCGCCATGGTCAGTGACACCATGTTCAGAGACGCCATGGTCAGTGACCATGGTCAGAGACGCCATGGTCAGAGGCGCCATGGAGAGAGGCGCCATGGTCAGTGACACCATGGTCAGAGACGCCATGTTCAGAGACGCCATGGTCAGAGACGCCATGGTCAGAGACGCCATAGTCAGAGACGCCATGTTCAGAGACGCCATGTTCAGAGACGCCATAGTCAGAGACGCCATGGTTAACCAGTGGAGGAAGCACAGATCCAAACCATCAAACACCATGATGAAAGAAATCCATACATCCGTCTATCCATCCATCAGACCATCCAACCATAAATCCATCTGCCATCCATCCATCCATTGATTAATTTCATCCAACCATAAATCCATCCATCCATAAAATAAAATGACAGACTTATACACTCAAAGACACAGTGATTTCCATTCACACACTGATGATAGCAAACTACTGGATTCATCCATCCAACCAAACATCAATCTATCATCCATGCTTCCATCCATCCATGCATCCAACCAAAAATCCATCCATCCATCATTTCATTAAGCAACCACAAATCCATATGCATTCATATGTTTCTTTGCCCATCCATCCATCCATTCATCCATCCATCCATCCATCCATCCATCCATCCATCCATCCATCCATCCATCCATCCATCCATCCATCCATCCATCCATCCATCCATCCATCCATCCATCCATATGTTAAGCCTGCCCTCTGTTATAATGTCTAGCCATCACTTAAACAGTAAGTAATGTTTGGGGAACTTAATGTAAGTTACTATGTGAAAAACATGAACTGGTATGAACATGAAAATGTGCAGTAATACTGACTGCTGTCAGTCCTTTTCTTAAAATATCCACAGTGGTCGACACAAACCAGTAGGAATACTGGGATAAACCAGAACATAAGCAGTGCTTTACAGTGGCAATGTGGAATATGTACTTCAATGCCGTCAGGCTATGTCATTTGATGAGAAAATCTGTTGAGCTTATATGGACCAGTTTGAAAAGGGTTTAACGGTAAAGGTCACGTGATCTTCTCAATGACATCCAGAATAATCCTTACTGAAGTTGCTACATGGAAATCGGTTAAGCTGGAATGACTTAAAGAGGCAGAGAGAAACAATGGTGGAGCTCTGACTACATACGCTGCATGCAGTCAGGAAAGAAGGACATCCACAACACAACAAATGCATCACTTTGTATGAGAATTTCTCATTTTGCATTTAGATTTTTGGTTGAATTTCTGAATCAACTCCACTGATTTGATGGTTTGGCTGCAGTGTGCTTTACTGTCATAGTCATGGATGCCATTTCAATAGGACACCCCGTCATAGTTTCCAACACAAAACGAAGACAGAACAACAGGGTTTTGATTCAATGTTGTAAATTACATCTGTGAAAAAACTAAATCTTAATCCTCACTTGGATTTCATAAAATAAACCCGATAGGTTGTAAATTGACGTTTTCAACATAAATCAGCCGATTTGATACGTGAAAATATGCTTTTTCAGACCTAGATAAATCTAGTGCACATTCTTTTCAAACATACATCTTCAGATTTATGACTTCAACTAGTTAATATGTTGAAGCCAGGAGTGAAGGCAGAAAATCAAAACCAGGCACCAAGACAAAACATAAAGCATATAAATAAATAAAGCTACATTATTAATAAATATATGAACTCATCCCCGTCTCCTCCTCAAAGAATGCATGTATAAAAAGATTATGCACATATTTATTTTCTTCTGTTTATAAAGGCTTGAATAAATTGGAGAGTTGTGTTCTTGTGCTTGTGAATTTAATACAGCAAAAACCAAAAGTGCACCTTTGTACTGTTGACTCATAAATAGTGATCTTCCACTGTAAATTAAGCTTTTGTTTGCATAAGTACTATTATTTTTTTAAAGTACAACCCAGTTAATATACACCAGTTCATAGCCAGTAAGCTTCTAGGTTCAAAAAGATTCAATCATAGATTAAATAAAAACTGTTTCGCTCTTATGTCCTCCCAACTTCTCTCCATTTTCTCTTTCTCTCCCCCTGCACCCTGTTCTCTCCCTCCTGTTTCTTTCCATCATTTATCCAACCCTTCAGCTCACCCCTCCATCATCTTCATTCCACTTTCTATTTTTTTGCACCTTTTTTTTTACTTATAATTTATTACCTTTAAAACTTTGAAATAAATGCAGTAACCAAGTGATTACCCAACGAGAACCTCATAGAAATTAATACTTGCGTGTTTTGCAATAGATTCATATTTATGCACGCCACATGGCATCAACTTCAAACTCACTTATATTAACTCTGCACCTCGCTCTGTTTTTCAATCTATTAGTAATGTTGCTGTTAAATATTGCAACTTAACAATTCACTATGTGAATCGACACGAATCAAATATATTTTAATTGCTCCAATTGATTGGCAGCTGCCTTCACTGACCGTCTGTGTCAAAATGTTTCCAGATGTCGATGAACTGCGCCGCGGTGAGCTCAGCCAGGTGCAGGTGGGGCAGCTGCTCCGCCTGGGTTGCCATCTCTGCGGGTTCTCCCTCCTTTGGGTGGTCCGTGGTACTCAGAAGTAAACTTTTCCCGGTGCAGAGCTCCTCGGATCTGTGAGCGGCTCCTCCGCAGCCCGAGCTTTTTAAACCACCCACTGGCCCTGCGCGCTTCTCCTGCCCGCCGCACGGGGGCGCAGCAGACAGGACGGCGAGGCGCAAAATTCGCTCCAATTGCGTTTTTTTTTTTTTTAATATATCAACCTATCATGGCGCACCTTCTAAAAGAAAATTAGATTAAGGATTTTAATCTGCAGAGGATCTAAAACCTGACACTCCTAATCCCTCATCTCTGTGCAAGGGGATGAATCTGAAACTTAAAATGAATGAAATTGTACAACTCAGTGGAATATTGTAATCTGAAAGTTATGTTTGAAATACCTAACTAACAGTGTATTAGGGCTATTATGAAGACAAAAAATTTGTATATTTGCGAGAAATAAAAGCTTTCAATAATTTTTTTGGACTCAGCAATTTAACATTTCTGACTTTGTTTTTGCAACTAATTTTCCACTTTTTGAAATCAGAAACTTTCACGTTATTTCTCAAAATTTCTGTTTCTTTTGTTTGTTTGTTTGTTTTTTTGAAACTCGGAAATGTCCTGATTCTTTCTAGAAATTTTCTGAAATTGGTCTAAAAATGCCTGGGATAATTTCTCTTGTGAACATTTTACTTCTGGAGCTCAAAATTTCTGCACTTTTTCCAGAAAATTTCTGAAATTAATTTCAAACTTTTCTCTTTTTTTCCAGCAATTTTTTACATTTGGAGCTCAAAAATTTCCTTGTTCTGAATTCGAAAAATAAAAAATTTCCAAGAAAAATTTACATTTCGAGATCAATCGCACAAATTTTCTTGAAAAAAACTTGAAAATGCTTTAAAACGTCCAAAAGTCAAAATGTTTGGACTATTAGAACGTGGAAATTTTCAATTTCTTTCGAGAAAATTTCTAAGATTAATCACAAAATGTCTGAGATTTTTAGCAAAAATATGCTCCTGCTTTTTCTATTTTTGACCCTAATATGCCATTGTTCATAACAATATACAATCAACACATTGGCAAAAAAAGATTTATTATCTATTATTAAAAGAAATAGCATTTGTAATTTGAGTATCAGCTATTTCAAAAAGTCCAAATTAATAAAATAAAGATCAGAACTAAATAAAAGGAACATCGTCTTTCTGTTTAAGGAAGAAATCTGTGGAAAAATCAGCCTGAAGAAACCATGTGAAAACTATATACGTATTGTATTTATGAAAATAATACAATATAAAATTCCATCAAAGTTTATTGAAGTGCATTGGCTCAGTTGTGTCCATATGGTTGACTGATGTTTTAGCAAGTTGACTGTTGAGTGAAGGCATGGACTGTAAAATATTTTTTTCTCACCTTCTCCTTTTCATTCCAAACTTCTGTTTATATCAAGATATGACATGTTCATTTTAAACTCTAAATGAATGAAATACATCAATTTCACATCTCTTATTTTAGGGAGTGTATGTAAGAGGAAAAGTTTGGTGTGGAAAGTTCATTGAGGTGCATGGCATGCTCCCGTTGGAGCTGCAAATCATCATAAATCACTGCTGCTGAGTTGGAGAACACATGAGATAAATAACCCTCCCTCCATTCTTTCATTGTGCTTTTATCTTCCTCCTCTCTCTGCTCTCAGTCTTATCTCAGCCTCAAACTACGTCTGGGAAAAAGCCAAGAGCTTCTGAATAGCCTCAAAAATCAGCAAATCGTTTCTGGATAATTTTGTCCTTGTCTAATCTTTCCAGTTTCCAGAGCTGCTGCCCTCTCTGTTGTTCGAAGTGCACCGGGTGAAGATGGATGCTGTGAAGGAGGGAGGAGGCAATAAGAAGAGGAGATGACACATGTCTGCAGAGCTTTGCATTGATGATCAGAGAGACATGAAAAATACTAGAAGAAAGAGTTCAAGACAGCAATTGGCCATGTAAAAACCAAACAGTACATCGATGTAGTCTAATTGACTTCCTATCTATATATTTCTTATGTTTTGGCAGAGTTTTGTCACATGTAATAGTTTCAGATAAAAGTGTAGCTTGTAGCTTTAATAAAAGTATAGGGTTTTTTATATTTTACAGTTTGTTGTGAGACAGAAGATATGTAAAGAGGTGAACCTCTTCCCTGTGCTGCTACTACCCAACCAAAAACAACCAATCAGAGCCAGGAGGAGGGTTTTAGTGCTGTCAATCAACCTCATGTAGTCACTTCTAAATAAATGAATGGTGAAGAAACAACTTACCGTTCCAGAAAAGCTGTTGATCCACCATAATTAGAGGCCAGACTAAGTAGCCTTCAAAGCACAACAAGAAAGCTTCAGCGTACAAGAGAGCAAAGTGGGAGGGGTGGGATGTACAGCGCCACACAGAGTGGTGATTGACAGCACTGAGACCCTCCTCCTGGCTCTGATTGGTGGTTTCTAGTTAGTTCTGGGAGCACTGGATGAAGGCAAAAGACTTTTTCACTGCCAATATGTCTGATACCATACTATCATGACATAGTGACAGTTTCAACAAATATGTAAAATATACATATCTTTTATAAAAGTTACATGCTGCTAATTTAAACACTTTTTGAAATTAGACAGAAATAAAATGTGATTATATATCAAAAGCAGTTTTGGATAAGCATGCGTATTTTAAATGAAGGAGAAAAGTTATTACCTAGTTATAAAAAGTAATGTGTGAATAAGTATTCCTCTATTAGCCTTAGTGCTGTGCTTCAGATAACATACCTGCTTTGTAAATTGCTTTAGAAAGCAGGTAACACTAATGGGAGGATAATATCTTTTAGGACTTTCTTGTAAAGTAGATTATGGTTTGACAGAGTGGAGCTTTTGCTCCGACTTTCACTCAGGTTCTCTGGATGGATGGATGATTTCTGAGCTGCTGATGACAAGAAGAGAAAGTCAAAGCTCTAATTGAACCTGTCAGATGAAGAACTGAGCAACCTGTATGTGAACATGAATATTTAACCTCTTAAGAAGTAATAAAAAAATCATTCCAGTTCACATATAAAGCCAGTCACAAAAACAACCATGTTTCCATATTATGAATTTCAATTAGGTCTTTGCTTTGCATGTCAAACACACTTTTCATGTAGATTATAGATAAGAGTGCAATCCAGCTAATGGTGTGTTAATAGCACCATGAAATTTAGATTTGTTAAAGTGGCATAACGCTCTTATTCAACCAGCAGAGTGGAAATCAGGTGATGAAATGTTGCAGACGCCCAGGAGTTTAAGAAGCTTTCAGTTTGACTGAGATTTAATTCTCCTAATGTAGCAATAATGCAGCGTCTTTGGTTTCTGTGTAGAATAATTCAGGGATCAGGTGTGCAAATCCTGTTGAGTTTGTACATAAAAATAACAGATTAGTGCTCAAAGTAATTAAATAACATCCTATGGATACTTAGCAGATGCACAATGGTTTATGTTAGTAGTGCATTTAAATAATTATAAGCATTACTTACATTGCCTGACATTATATATCTGTGTACATCCAGCTCAGAGCTTTTACGCAGGATCGTTTCAAACCCATTCACTCTTTCAAAATGAACTGATGAACACCAGTTTACGTCATTCCAGACTTTAAATCATGTGCATAATAATCTGGAGCAACTGGACTGGCAAAGTCTGTGCTGAAATGCTCTGAATGTAGTTTCTGCAGATTGATCTGACCAACTGATTTATTACATTTGAGCCAGATTAGATTCATGCTGACAGTGAGTAACTGGCAGCTGATCATTAGGGTTCAAATCATCAACTTGGAAGCAGTGCAGGTTTTTATGAGCATGTTTACATCTTGTTTATGTTCAAATAACAGCACACAGAACTGGGGGTATTACTCACTCACATACATCAATCCTAATTAAAATACTGTAAGAGAAATCCAAGACGGGGAACTTTCATGCATCTCTGTGAGGTTCAAATGACAAGACAGTGGTGTGTGAGAAAATGTGGGGGAAGTAGCATATTTTATTCTGCATGTATGTTCTCTAAATAACAAGGACACAGCTGTACAGCGGCTTTTTCTTGATGAAATCAGGCTTCTGGTATTCCAAAAACCCTCAGCTTCTGAATAAATATGAACAGCCTCCAGCGTGAAGCAAAGACACAAAGGAACATTTTTAGTGGTTAGATTAGTACCTGATGAGCCCCTCAATGAGGTTTGTGTTTGTTATCTAACCTCCAGCAGGATAAACAATCTGTGGCTAATTTTTCTCTCTGATCAAACAAAACGATGCAAAGCTTTCTGGCTCTTTAATTATACCCAACAGGGATTAAAAGAGCAGAGTGGTGAACAGTGGAGAAGAATGAATGACAAAACAAACTGCTTAAAGTTGTCTTTGATGAAGCTAGGATCAGTAAATGGCAGGAAACAATTTAGTCTCAGAGAGTAAAAGAAAGACTTTCAGGTGGTGAAAGCTTTATTTCAAACCATTTGCTTGACAGAAAACCAGCCTGGTTTGCAGTTTGCTGCAACCAAAACAAAGTAAACATGTGGAAGAAGGAGCTCCTGCTCTCTGAAACTAAAATATTGATCTGAGTACACTAGTATTGATCATGATCGAGGAATATACTTTAAGCAAACCTCCAACAATCATTTCTATCATGCAGCTAATCTGGATTATCAGTAGAAATATGCTACGGCAACAATCCTTTACGCCAAACTTCTCTTCACTTGATGCAAAGCCGCCGCCTCTAAAACTGCATAATTACGCGCTCCAGAGAACGATAAAAACTTACTGTTGCTAAGAATGAATGTCACAGTGGGATTATCTGGGTGGAAGTGTGCTTGTGCATTAAACCAGGACCTCTGCCACATTTTCGCTCTTGTATTAATGTGGCTGAGCAGCAGTCAGAGTGGGAGTGTACACTTTTTGTAAATTAGAGTGACACTGCGCCTCATTGCAATAATCATCTGTTTTCATCAGCTCCAGCCTGAGTGACTGCATCTTAATCACCAGAGATAAAAACTGCAGCAGCAGCCAAACAATGAAGACTGTGCTGAAAACAGATAAGGCAGAATGCAGCTTGTGGACTGTTTGGCAGATTG